CAGCAAATTTTCTCTTGCATTAATCAACCGGAAAACATGCACTAAACAACGGGATATCGAACATGCAGTGTGTATGACCATACGTTAAGCTGGTAAAGATGGGAGCATGCTTTACTCGGCTATTGGCTTTATCTGCTGGTTTATAAAACGTCTTAGTACGGTTAAGAAGATTGTCATTTAGACCACATTTAATGATACTTGGAGAATTGAGCATAAAACACGGTATTGACTGTATAATTTAAGTTCTATATCTAGTGAGAATATGTATTAATATTTGTTCTCAAAGAAAACAAAAATTATATGACATTTTTGCAATATTCTTCTCAGTCATGAAATAGCTATTGGTTTTCATCGAAATTCTAAAACATTGCGTTATATCTATAATTTATACAGATTTACAGTTTAGTATTAATAGGAAATGACTATCAGTTGTCTCAACTTATTTAGCACTTTTATCTTGAATAATAATTAAGAAAAAAGAGGGTCACTGCTATAGGAGACATGAGATTTATTAGCAAAAGAAACTATTATTAATAATAATAAAATTATAATAATTATAATATCAATAATAATAATGGCAAAAAAGGTGTAATATTGAAAAAAAATGAAATAATATAAATAGAGAGCAAAGAATTATTTTATTCAGGTATTTTTTATAATATGAAAACAACAAATAAAAGCTTTCCCTTAATTATCGACATATGTATATATATATATATATATATATATATATATATATATATATATATATATATATATATATATATATATATATATATATATATATATACATGTGTGTGTGTGTGTGTGTGTGTGTGTGTGTGTGTGTGTGTGTGTGTGTGTGTGTGTGTGTGTGTGTGTGTGTGTGTGTGTGTGTGTGTGTATGTGTGTGTGTGTGTGTGTGTGTGTGTGTGTGTGTGTGTGTGTGTGTGTGTGTGTGTGTGTGTGTGTGTGTGTGTGTGTGTGTGTGTGCAAATGCAAGAATAATCGCAAGGAGAAATTTTAACGTTTTGAGCACTTTTAGAGAACCACAACTGTGGCTTGAGCTAGAAGATTAGAATGGAAAAACGCGATTAACCCCGCTACGAGTTATCTATAGAAGATCACATATGCGCCTGGAACGTTTAACTAAAAACGTATTTAGACTTATTCAGAAACGTTTGCCAGAGCGTCAAACTCACATTTTAAACAAATCAAAGTTAATGAATCCGCACTTTGTTTTTACCAAATCTTTTTTAGAGTTTGTGATAATGTGAATATTATCAGGCAAATCATTGGAGAAACGCTTAAAGCAGAATATGTAAAGTGTCTTAACAAGATTGGAATATATTGCATTGTTTCATCATTTAAGTGGCCTGCAGTTGACTGGGTGAACAAAAATATACTTTCCCCAATCAGATCTGGCCCCTAAAGAACATAATTGTATCGATCTTAATTAAGTATGACGATAACAAAATATACATAAGCCCAGGGCTATATTGGATCCATTTTCATTTCAAAGATCTCTTTAATATCTAATAATTATGTAAAAATATGTGGAAGCATTGTAAATTAATTTTCTTTAGTTAATTCTCATCATCCATTGCAATTTTGACTTTCTAAATAACATTTTTATTTTGTTTAAGTTGATTTAGAAAAAAATTCCTAGTGGTTGACTAGGTTTCCATTGTTGACTGGCAGAAGGGTTCCAGTTTAGCTTTGATTCTTTCTCCATCCAAGCTTATGTACCACGGGCTTAAGCCGGTTAAGTTTACATTAGCAATGACTGGTCAGTAACATTATACTCATATTCACTTGATAAATAACGAAGCAGTTACGCAAGTACTTACGAACGTGTACATCCTTCCTCAATCTTTGACGGCTTTGGTTACATTTATTAAATAGTTTACAGTCATGAAACTTTCCAATCAACTGTTATTATTGTTATAAACAGCCTCCTTGTCCTTCGGAGCTCATTAATGGTTTAATAATTAAGATTATTACGACATAAGATTATTACAATTAATATTCATAAATCACCGACAACAGACGTAATGGTTACCTCGTGAGTTTATATAGTGTTTATTCCCCCTCCCCCCCTCCAAGAGAAAACAAAAAGCTTCGTCACAAACTTCTATATTGTGTATAAATATCTCTTGTATTTGTCTCTACATTCAAATGGCAATAAGCTTTTGAATCTAAACGCCCAAGCGAATGTGTTAATTTTTATCTTTATGTTTAGAATGTGATTTGGATCTCTGATGCCTCTGTTGGCATTCGAGGGGCCAAGCCTTGTATATTTGTAGCCAAGACCCGATATGAACGTAAGTGCTCAAGGTATATTACATTTTTCACCGTGATTATTCTTGCAATCTAAAGTCATATATATATATATATATATATATATATATATATATATATATATATATATATATATATATATATATATATATATATATATATATATATATATATATATATATATATATATGCATTTTAGTAATAAATTATAAATTTTTAGTATTCTGTCATTATTAAGCAGTATTAAATAATTAAACCTTTAAACATAATGCAAAATAATAAATATATTAGAAAATAAGATATAATTGATTAGTAGCATAAATATTATATTTATTCGGGAGGAAGACCAGCTCAGAACAGCGAGGCTTTAGTAATGCTGCCATTCAAGTGGCTTTAAGCATCATCTTGGGATGAATTATATCATTCAGAGGCAACGAGTCACTGTTAGTCATTTCCTTCGACAGTAAATGGGATTTGGCAGGGAGTGCGGAGAGGACAATGTGGTTAGGAACAAGGAGAAGAAGTTTTGGTTGAAGAGCAGCAGTCTAAAATACTTGGTCCAAATTATATATATATATATATATATATATATATATATATATATATATATATATATATATATACAGAGAGCGAGGGAGAGAGAGAGAGAGATAGAGAAGGTAAAGAGATCTAGATTTAAATAGAAAAAAGAGTTGAAGTGATGGGTAGAATAAGACAAGCAATGTTAGGACCCAGATGAGAGAGGGCTTCACCAGGCTATGTAAGAAACATGAGGAGTGAGAGACATGCTGAAGCAGGTCGAGTGAGTGACACGAGGAGAGACAGACAAGGTGAGTTAAGTCAAGTGAGAAATATAGAGAAAGACAAAGAAGAAAATATTTGATTGAATAGGATACAGGCAGACCCAAAGAGATTTTAAAAAATAAAAAAAGAGAGACGGTCAAAGAGAGAGGAAAATTAACAAAATCATAATATAATACTCGCAAAGGAAAATGCAGATAGAGAACGCATAACTCAACTGAAATACAGGAGACGATTTTACCTTATCAAATATTGGCGGAAATGGAATAAGGATTTTTTGGGGAGATTAATTGCCTGAAAGTATAGAAAGTCCTACAGGCGTACTATATATATATATATATATATATATATATATATATATATATATATATATATATATATATATATATATATATATATATATATATATATATATATATATATATATATATATATATATATCAATAACTAAAGATCTTCACTGCAGGTGTGGTTGCTATACTAAGCACAAGCTGGAACTTTATTCTAAACGGAAAGGGAACAATAGGTCAAAAGTTCCACATCGTAAGTTTAGGATAACTTCAACACCTCCTTCTGTGTAAAATCTTTGCTCGTAGGTTGGTGTTGAGATGAATCAGAAGGTGTTGGGGCATCACAGAATTATCCTCCAAGTCCTTTAAGGCCGAGCAGTAAAGTTCAATAATGATTATTTCCGACATTAACGATCTTGGCGGGAGACGACATCATTCCCAAACACCTTCCTTGACGGTTTCTTCAGGAACTTGGTTAGAAAAGAGCGAGTCTGAGAGTCCCACCAAGTAATGGCCAAGATTGTAACAGATTCTCTCAATAAAGACGACGTACATGGGTTACAATCAGCCCAGTGCTACGGTGGAGTGAGTCCAGCTCTCACTTTTACGCAGCAAAATCCAGTTTCTCATATTTTTTTCCAGTCTGATTTAGCCACAACACCGTAAGAATGAGGAAACAATTGGCATCAGTCGCCATAACAACCAGACAGCCAGCTGTTCTGACAATGAGGACGAGTGCCACTGCCTGTGTGCTCATATCTTGGAGGCTTCAATAAAGGTCCTTCACCCCCCCCCCCAACCCCGCGACGAGAAGACCAGGAGCTTTATTGAAACAAGTTGTGCCTCGTATCCCCGTCACCAAGACATGATCTCGTTACCTTACTTAACAAAAAAAATGAGGTTTGTTGGGAAGCCACTTAAGAGAGAGTGAGAGGAGAGTGAGAAGGGGGGGAGGGGGATAAGGAGATGGCATTAAGTCCTTAACAAACACAGAAAACGTTCATGCCTTATACGCCATTCCAGCATTAACCATTATAATACCAAATCGGGTTTTAATAAATATATATTTATTTATATATATATTTATATATGTCTCTGACACCCCCCTACCTGTGACAGGGGTGGCAAACGCACGGGCTATGTGTAGATTGGTACAGGAAGGGAAGGAGGTAGGGGTTGTGTTAGTAAGTACTACCAGCGCAAGTACAAAAGGTGTTTGGTAATTAACCATTAATTTGGGAGGAGGACCAAACAGACTGGCCAATGGGTCTGAAATAAGGGGGACATATCTAACCACAATTAGTTCACTAGACCCTTCCACCTGTGGGTCAGAGCTCACCATTAATTCTTTGATTTAACCAAAAAATAAATCAAGCCAATAGTTTGCGTTAGAGTACAGCTTGCTAAGTAGACATGAGTGGCTGATTGTGCGCGGGGTTAAATGACAGGATACAGGAAAGATGTGATCCTTTACATCGTGAACGTAAGGGCAGGAAGGAGTGGATTGGACGCTAGAAGGTTGGTATACAGGATAATCCATTGTTTATCTTAAAGCCCAAAGTCAGTCACCCCGTCACAGATGGAGAGTAAATAGAATTGATGACTCTGATGGGAGATTGAATACTCTACCTAACAATGGTATCGCATCAGAAACTTGAGGCAATTTTTCCGCAACAACAGTCATGAAAACCGTCAGAGAAAGCAGGATTGTGATTTCTGAAAGAAAAGGAAAAAAAGATACACCATACATGTACTTCGAAAATTGGGAGGGGTTTGGTTTAATTTAAAAAAAAATATATAAAATAAAATAAATAGTCATGGAAAATATATTAATGTGGTTGAGAAGAACGTCGAATTGCAGAACCGGTGGAGAGTAGCGTGAGTTCTCGATCAACTTATGAGAACACAGAAATGCTTGGGTTAAATTGAGTCAAAACCAGGAACAGTTAGACAGATATGGTGGTGCTATTATATAAATATATATATAAATACATACATATATATATATATATATATATATATATATATATATATATATATATATATATATATATATATATATATATATATATATATATATATATATATCATTATTGCACATTCCAGAGAATTTTACCGTGGGGGGACAGGAAGTAACAAGGAACAAAATATGACATGAAACATATTAAATAATAGACGAGTGCATTGCCAGTTTCATATATTCTCCAAGTATCACACACTCCTAAAGTCCTGGAGTAATGTCAAATTATTATATTTTCACACTAAACATTGATGTTGGGTGAAGTCCTGACTGTTTTGTCTTGTGGCCATTTGCAGTATGGATAGCAATACTTACAAGTTAAAGTATTAAAAGACATTTATATGTTAAATAAAGGTATTGTAACAAATATAAGACAGCTCAGTTCGCGTCTCATCATATTATAGAACCTGACAGGTGAATGTGGATTAATGGAAACCACAAAGCATACTGACAGTTATCTACAGTCATTGGTGTGGGTTGCTGGTCTACTCATGAAGAGAAATAATCATTGCGACTCATGTTAAGGTGGACCAACAGGTGTAGAAGGTTATGATGACGTGTGGGGAACCGCTAAGTCGTCTGAGAGAGGTGATTGGTTGAAGAGACTCTTGACGTATCTATGACGTAAGAACGCATTAGTGACGTAACATGACGACTCAACGGAGTGGTAGAACACACACACACAAAAATAAAAAAGACATCATTGAATAAATGACAGTGAGTGAGTGTGTGCAATATGGTAAAATGATCAGTTGATGTTTCCTGATCCGTTTTGTGTAATAGACGACGAGAGAGGTGTGGAACAAGCTACTGTCTACGTTGCTCTTTACATACATATGAGAGGAACAGCATCGGAAGTCTCCGGTATATTTTCGGTCACAATGTTTAGGAAAACAGTTAGCGAGAGCAGAATGGTGACGCCTGAAAAAGAAGAGTTGGCCGTGTCAATGCTTCTGGTTATCTATCACCGCAGAGATGCGGAGAGTTGATGGATAGGTGAGGGACTTGTCACGGGCTGGGAGGGACAACATAGGCTACAAATACACACCATTTGAAGATCAGATGGGAGAGAGAGAGAGAGAGAGAGAGAGAGAGAGAGAGTGAGAGAGAGAGAGAGAGAAAGAGAGAGAGAGAGAGAGGGGGGTTGGAGTCAGGGTGAGAATCAGGGAGGGAGTCAGGGTGGGAGTCAGTATACAACCCGTTCTCGCAAATTCGTAAAGTCAATATTGACTTATTAACTACGTGCATAGGTGATATACTAAACATAATAGATACCCTTAAAAAGATTCATAGAAAACACCGACCTTACCTAACCTTGTTAGTATCTTAAGATAAGCAACTTATTGCTTCGTAATTACAATTATTACTTAACCTATACCTATTATAGGTTAGGTAATAATTGTAATTACGAAGCAATAAGATGCTTATCTTAACATACTAAGTAGGTTAGGTAAGGTCGGTGTTTTCTATGAATCTTTTTAAGGGTATCTATTATGTTAAGTATGTCACCTATGCACATATTTAATAAGTCAATATTGACTTATTAAATTTGCGAGAACGGGTTGCAGTATAAGAGTCAGGGTGGAAGTCAGGGTATTACTCAGGGTGGTAGTCAGGGTGATAGGAGGGGTTGTTGGGGGGTTTGAGGAAAAGAGTCAATAATTGCATTTTAACATCGGCACATTTCTTTATCCGTTCGAATAATAGATCCTGAATATGAATAAGTCGGAGGAGGGGGGGGGGGTGAGGGTGTAAGTAAAGCTATAAATCGAGTAGTTATAGACTATATATATGTATATGTATATAATTCACTTGGGCCCCCTGACAGACTCTAACTCTCGCCCCCACGCCCATGCTAAATAAATAAATAAGTATAAAATTTCAGATGGGCAGTGGTTTGCTGCCACTGAAATCTTCACTATTGCCGCAGGCTGCGTGGTCTAGTGGTAATGCTTCTTGCCTCACGCTAGTTGGGGTCGAGAATTCGAGTGTGCCAGGACCCATGTGAATGAGATGCATATTTCCACGATAGTGTGATTGACAATTTATTTAACATTGCCACTATTAGGCACTATATGAATATCAGAAGAGCCAAGACATATAACATAGGGAATGTCTTGTAGATGAGACCGTGCCATGAGCTCTACAATAGTAAACTAAGTGGGGGAAATATTACATTTACCAATACTTAATATGCTGAATAAGAGAGGGAAAATTCCTTCTAACAGCAGAACAAATGAATTCTGGCCCAGATGGAGAACGTTTTACGTGCGTTGTGAACTAAACGCAGGATGATACAACCCTCTGAACGCACGATGATGCCTACTGAACGCAGTTTAATGCACTCAAAGCATGATAAATCCCACCCCGAGATGATTATTGCACGTCCTAACTGATTCCACACAATGATATCTGATGAAAACATGGGAGAGGTGTGTGTTGAGGGAGTTGTATATCGGTGAGAGTATCAGGTAAAGATAACACGAGAGAAGTATAATGGGAAGTGAAAATGTGAGAGTGCTGCAGGGATATAACGTTAGAGATAAGTGCCAGATAGAAGATGAGTCGGGGCAGAACATGATATAAATACGGTGAGGTGAGGAGAACATGGTGCAACTATGATAAATTAAGAATATGGTGTAACTGTGATGGAATGAGGAGAACATGGTGTAACTGTGATAGAATGAGAAGAACATGGTGTAACTGTGATAGAATGAGGAGAACATGGTGTAACTGTGATAGAATGAGAAGAACATGGTGTAACTGTGATAGAATGAGAAGAACATCGTGTAACTGTGATAGAATGAGAAGAACATGGTGTAATTGTGATAGAATGAGAAGAACATGGTGTAACTGTGATAGAATGAGAAGAACATGGTGTAACTGTGATAGAATGAGAAGAACATGGTGTAATTGTGATAGAATGAGAAGAACATGGTGTAACTGTGATAGAATGAGAAGAACATGGTGTAACTGTGATAGAATGAGAAGAACATGGTGTAATTGTGATAGAATGAGGAAAACATGGTGTAAGTATTCTGAGGAGATGGGAAGAACGGTGAGGTAGTAGTATACATTTAAAAGAGTGAGTAGTTCAAGAAAAACAATATAGAAGTAAAAATCTACAGTGTTTTACGAGCCAGAAAAAATTAAATAACCAACATTAGTAAAGCGAGTGAAGAAATTTGCAAGACTGGGGAGAGGGAGAAATACACTATGAAGGAAGAAGATAAAAATGCCATGGATGATAATAAACGGTAATATTAAAAGGTCAGTGTTAATGACGGTGAGCGTGAATGGCTTCAAGTTCAAGTAAGTTTATTGAGACAAGAAAAAAAATACATCTCAAAGGGAGTGAATGGCTTAATAGGGAGAATTCGTAGGCAGCAGAGATGTAGTTGTTATTTGCTGGAAGTAGTAAAGGAAAATGGGGGAAGTTCAACGAAGGGGGATGGAAGGGAGAGAGGGGGGCTATATAACTCCTAATAAATTGAGTAAATTGTCCTCATTAGAGAACAGTAGTTATTTTACTACCTAAAGTAGTTTATTGAAACGTTCACTTTAAAAGCAATCCTAAATATCTTTCTGTCTTTTAACAGTATATAAATATGTATATATATATATATATATATATATATATATATATATATATATATATATATATATATATATATATATATATATATATATATATATATATATTTGTGAGTGTGTGTGTGTGTTTGTAAATCACGAAAATTAACACGTGATGAAAAATGTGACAGTGTCAGATCACGGAGGAAGAATTGAAACAGGAATTTCCTTCAGTACTTTCGTATTAAATAATACATCTTCAGATCGGTGTATTCTGAAGATATATATATATATATATAAATATATATATATATATTATATATATATATATATATATATATATATATATATATATATATATATATATATATATACATACCTGAAATGGGAAATCACACAGAAAATTTAGGGAAATATATTATTTAGCATTAAATCAATTTCATACTGCTCAGGCAATCCTAATATTTAAGTATCGGTGAAGCTGCGTAAGAAATTTATTTCAGGGTAAAGATTCATCAGTATTAGAAAAATAATTAGTTAATTAGTAAACAATTATAAAATAATTAACGCACAGGTGTCTGGGGCGGAATCTCGCTCTATGTTCACCTTTCATATATACGTAATTTCCAATAAGAAACTCCAAACAATAAATATTTAGATTCGAGTATGATAATGTATACTCATAATAATAATAATAATAATAATAATTATATTAATAATCACGAATGCTTTTCTGAGTATAATTGTATAGTTCCAAGTCTTTTTGTCTCCATCTGCACACACACTATGAGACCCGGTGGCTCAATAGGCAATGATGTGAAGCAAAAATCTGAAACTTGAGCATGGAAAGGTTACTAGGGATGAAGGAAGTTCCTGAAAGTAGAAACGGGAACTTTTGAACGAGCAAAGGGAAGGAATTCGAATAACAATTTTGATTACGACTCAGCAGCGAAACCAAGACTGATTCGAAGCGAATCTTCTTTCATATCATGATAAGAGCGTCAGTGAATAAGAGTATGTTAAGCTGGCTGAAAATTATATATATATATATATATATATATATATATATATATATATATATATATATATATATATATATATATATATATATATATATATATATATATATATATTTATATATATTTATATATTTATGTTGAGCTAAACAAAAGAATTTATCCCAGTAAAGAATTGGTTTGGAGCCATAATGAAAAAGTTGAAATAGTGTTAACGCGCTTTAAAATATCAAACGCGAAGGTACAAAGCCTCTTATATTGCGTATTTTACCTTGGATTTGAAGAGCTTGAACTCATGTCCGAAGTTAACCACCTGGCCAAGAATTAGACAAAACACCAGAGACAGGAGAACTAGTGGAAACAGCAGCACGATTCAAGTCACACCAATTTTCAAGATTATAGGAAAATACTCCAATCACAAGAGACTTAATTTCAAGATAACGCATTGCATGTAAAGGCCTTTTCCAATCAACATGTACAGGGCATATTTAATACATGCTTCTTGTAGGCAAATGACGTGTTTACGAAAATCAGACAAAACTAATTGTAGACAGATTGGATATTTTTGGTTTGTAAAACGATTTATTATGTTACCCGGCAGTAGATTGACAAACAAAAGAAATATACAAACAGGAGAGCAGAGAACTCTATAATATGAATTAAATGATTGTTTTGAATTCAGAGGAACATGAAAATGGTTAAAACTGCCATTGTATTTAACTACTAAAATTTCACTCACACACACACACACCAATAAACGCAATCGTCTATGCTTGCAGGTATTCCCTTACCCATACATAAATTAAAAAGCAAACATGGAAAGCAGACTAGGGAGACCAGGAGAGCATTTAACGGGGTACGAGAGAACCTAACAAAAATAAAACCTTAACGACATAATTGGGAAGAAACAAAACTGAAGATAGGAAACATTGTTAATTTCTAAAAATGAACTCCAAAGATTAATACTTTATTTTCTGACATAATAACGACTAGATATCAAACAATACTAGTCAGAGAACAAACACACTGACACACACACACACACACACACACACATACACACACACACACACACAGATGTTTCTTCATCTCAATAATAACATACAAGATAGAAACGATTCACATGTTTAAAATATGACTTTCCCGTATTACAAACACCTCAGTTCTATCTACGACTTAAAGAAACTAATATACTCATATGACTCTACCCGAAGGTTAACCAACGTGTCTGTGTGTGTGTGTCCAACTTCTGTTTCACTTGTATGAAACGGAATATTGAATATATGAAATACTGACAAGAACACATTTGAAATAGAGTAGATGTCGAGTAGGATGTGAGAGAAAGGTTTAGCAGGTCAGGATAGAGGATGAGGACTAATGAAGGACATATATCTCAATAAATATATTGATTATGACCAATTTTATATCATAAATTTTGGGTATTTATTAAGAATATCATCAACTGCTAGAGCATTATTTTGAGAGTTAATGCTTGTGATGATGATTCAGGATTTAGCACGGGGGAAAACTCTTATATGTTACGTTGCATGAATTGTATTTAATACCTCTTAACAATAAGTCAGTTGGTGCTTCTAACAGTGAAAGGACATGACACAAACACTATCCACACTCTATCCTACTACTAGTAGTAGAGAGACTGCAGTGTATAGTGGGTCTACTATGTCGGTGTGACGAACTAAAGGTGCTCACATTTCTAACACTTCCTCATTTGTAAGAACGATAAATTACTTAACTTTCTCAGGACTTCCTATAGAAGCATTACAAAGGAGAAGCGTAAATATGGAATAATCAGTGAATATATATATATATATATATATATATATATATATATATATATATATATATATATATATATATATATATATATATATATATATATATATATATATATATATATATATTGGTAGCAGTCTCTCTTGTAAACATATGTTGTTGAATATGTACCTCTTGACAGGTAAAAGAGGAGTGTTGTCAATGCTTACGTTGACCTGGCTCTCAGTCACAGCTCTGGTTGGAAGCAAGTCGATGAAGAACTCTGTAGGATAAGGCAGATCCTAGTCAACAATGGCTTCTCTAACGGTTATGTTGAAGACGTCATAAAAAGAAAGGTGAAACGCAATGCAACTTCTGAAGAGTCAACTAACACAACACTTGTACCCCCAATTAGACTGTTTTATAGGAACTTCTTTTCGACGGCTCATAAAACGGAGGAAACTGTTCTGAAAGATATTATTAATAGGAATGTTATCCCTACAGACAAAAATAAAAAAATACAATTGACAATTTACTACAAAAACAAAATAACGGTCAACCTATTCACGAAAAACTCCCCAGCCATCAAACAGAACGCCTTGAAAGAAACCAACGTCGTTTATGCCTTTACATGCACACTTGCGGACTATATGCCCCAAAGAACTCAGTATATAGGGAAGACAACAACTTCTCTTTCTTGGCGATTAAAAATGCACGAACAATAGATCTCCATCAAAGAACATATAATCTCTTCTCACAACCAGACCATCACCAGAGAAATCTTAACATGCAACACAGAAATCATCTATAAATACAGCGATTGCAGGAGACTCGACATAAGCGAGGCACTACACATAAAAAACGTCAACACCAGCAATCAACATCCAATTAAGGCAAAACTATATTCAACCCACTTCAAGACCCCGAACCAACATAGGGGCGGCAAGAGAAGGTATGGGCCAATAGGCTTTCTGTAGTTACTTTCATTGTTATGTTTTCATACCCAATTTGTACCCACCTCACCCAGAAAACTTGTGTCATATCACCTCACCCAAAACAAACATATGTATGATATTTGTTATGTGTAAACAAATCTTTGAGAATATAAGAAGCCCTTACGAAACGCATTTAAGCGTCAGACCAAAAATAGAAATGTAAAACATGAATTTTGGAGAGTTAATTTTTCAATTACCCTCGACAGTGAAGAGAAACGTAAGAAATATTGTGAAGATTAGTATTAGAATTATTGATCTTACCCTTTCAGTCATATTAAACAACATATGTTTACAGGAAAGACTGCTACCAATATTCCATATATATATATATATATATATATATATATATATATATATATATATATATATATATATATATATATATATATATATATATATATATATAAATTCTTGTTAGAATTATTATCTTACTTTTTCGGTCATATTTAGTATATATATATATATATATATATATATACATATATATACATATATATATATATATATATATATATATATATATATATATATATATATATATATATATATATATATATATATATATATATATGTATATATATGTATATATATATATTATTAAATATGACCGAAAAAGTAAGATTAATAATTCTAACACGAATTTTCTCAATCTTTCGTACATTTCTTTTCACTGTTGGAGGTAAATCAAAAATCAATTCTCCAAAATTCATTTTTATTTCTAGTCTGACGCGACACGAGCGCGTTTCGTAAATCTTATTACATTTTCAAAGACTTTAGTTTACAAATACACAACTGAATAGAACTTACGCATCTCCGATTTCGTTTATATCTACATTTGAGTGAGGTGGATGGGGTGAGGTGGCATTAATAGGGTATTAATTTCATCAACACAAGACAGAACAAGAGGTGGCATTAATAGGGTATTAATGCCACCTCACCCCATCCACCTCACTCAAATGTAGATATAAACGAAATCGGAGATGCGTAAGTTCTATTCAGTTGTGTATTTGTAAACTAAAGTCTTTGAAAATGTAATAAGTTTTACGAAACGCGCTCGTGTCGCGTCAGACTAGAAATAAAAATGAATTTTGGAGAATTGATTTTTGATTTACCTCCAACAGTGAAAAGAAATGTACGAAAGATTGAGAAAATTCGTGTTAGAATTATTAATCTTACTTTTTCGGTCATATTTAATAATATATGTCTACAGGAAAGACTGCTACCAAATATACTAGTATATATATATATATATATATATATATATATATATATATATATATATATATATATATATATATATATATATATATATATACATATATATATATATATATATATACGATTTTAGAAGGAAAATTTAAAAAATCTGTAATTTTCCTTAGAAAGAGAGAGAGAGAGAGAGAGAGAGAGAGAGAGAGAGAGAGAGAGAGAGAGAGAGAGAGAGAGAGAGAGAGAGAGAGAGAGAACTAATAACACTGCTCTGTAAGCAAGAAACTGGAAGTAAATAACTGCACTGAACATATTGAAGGATATGTAACACACACCATTCCTACTGTCCTAATTTTACACTGCTTCCCTATTTAGTTATTATCTCTGAATTAACAATTCCCCAAACGTTGATTTGAGTTTATTTATGTAATTGCTGTTACATAATAGTTATACGTGATGTGATTTAATATATATCAATTCCACATACTACATGGCACAGTTAGCAGAGCACACCTGCCCGAAATCTGTGATAAAGAAAGAAAAAGAAGGTTTAAGAAAACATTCGATATGATATAATAAAGAGCGTAATGGGATGAGTTACATATACTCTGAGCATATTATCTAAGGCACCCATTGATCAAAATGAAAGAAAACGAATTAGGTATGGTTCACAGAAAATGGACATATATAAATGTTTACCTTCTGACTAAGCTTAACCTACGAGGTCTTACCTAATGTGAGCTTCTCCCCGGAGTCTGGGGGTAAGGTGAACCCTAGCAACGCCATGGACGAAATGAGAACACAGGGCATGATGAGGTTGCTGAAGTAATAGAGCGTCCGTCGCCGTATGTGGATCTGGAAGGTCACGTCCACATAGATCTCTGGACAACATGTGTAGGAAAGTGTGTTCCTCTTCCCAGGTACAGCTGTGTGTGGAGAAATTAGTTGATCTCGTTAGTACTCTGGCTATTTGTATTTATAAATGTCTTTTTATATGTATATATTGAACATTATTTCATCTCTGGATAATTCTATGGCTGGTTAATTCATCTATTTATGGGAATGCAATTGCAAAAACTCTTACAAAAAAAAGTTTATATATCTAGAATTAATAAATATTATAAATAAATAAATAAATAAGTTTATAAATCTAGAATAAAGACGATACTTTTTATGTTAAAAATAATTATAATTATTTTTAAATCATTAGATTTATTTATTTAATTAACAGAATCTGAATAATTATAATTATTTAGATTAAAAAATAATTCTAATTCATAATAATTCTAACTAATTATTATATACACATAATATAATTTTTAAAAATCACTAAATACAGGATAAAAAATATCGATTAAGAAAACAAGGATCTCATGAATTTTGTAGCTGAAGAAGATAAACGACATGAATTTTGCTATATTTCGTAAACTTTACTCGTAAAAAGTTATTAGACATCCAAACTTGAAAGTCAAAACTAGCCACTGTTCGTACTGATTTTATCATCCTGGAGCACCATATATGTCTTAAGCACTATATACATGTCGCCAGCACCATATATACATGTTACCAGCACCATATATACATATCGCCAGCACCATATATGAACAACCCACTTTATTGTTGACCAGACCACACACTAGAAATTGAAGGGACGACGACGTTTCGACTCAAGTCACAATCGACTTGAGAATGGTCCAGGACGGACCGAAACGTCGTCGTCCCTTCAATTTCTAGTGTGTGGTCTGGTCAACATACTTCAGCCACGTTATTGTGACTCATCGCCTGCATATGAACCCACTTTAGAACCCAGTATTCACCCAGTTACTTTCTGAGTTAAAATTTATCCACATACAATCAATCAATTCCATGGTCCTCATAGACATGTAGCTTGAACCTCAGTCTTTTTGAGCTTAATGAGAAGTGTGATTGAGACTTTAACCAAAATTCTTTCTCTCAAAGCTACAATTCTCCGCTTCTTAACTTGAATATCCAGCTTTTTATACCTCGTCTATATAACCTCAAACACTAAAATAAATACTATTAATGCAGTTAAAATGATTAATTAGTTAAACAAAATATCGCAACGAAATACATAGTGTTTCCAGTCTACTTAAGTCTGTCCGTCCTAAACTTCGGTTTTCTTTGATATTTTAAGTAGTCTAAAAGTGTAGTGTAGTCTAAATTCTGGTGTAATCTCCGTTTACAACACAATTAATAACACCAGCATCACTTACAACACAAATAACCCCATCAACAGCACTAAGACCCACCAGTAGTACTGAATAACCCCTGACAACATTAATATCGTCCCTAGCACCCTCAGTACTATATGGCTGATTTAGTCAGTGGCAGTAGTCAGTAGTAACGCCATTCACACCAGTAATACCAGCCCCCTTTAGCAATTATCAGCCTTACCACTATCTCTTTAATCCCTAGCAACACCACTAATACCAGCTTCACCAAGGAATAACCATAAAATCCACCATACCAATGACACCAGCAACACCTGAAAATATTGGCAGCGCCAGGGACCACTGCGTAGCTTTGAGTTCCTGGGAAATAAGTCATATTAAACTTATGGGTCCAAAGTATAGAAAAATTATTGTTTACCCATAAACATATGGGGACAAGGGACAAGGTCCCTTCTTTTGGGGGAGAAAAGGACAAGTAAAATTTGAGTAGATATTATGGAGTAAATATTGTGGATTAAACATGGAGTTATTCCATAATGGCAAAAGTTGCCAAAAGTTGAACACTCTAAGAGTGTTCATGTTCATGTAATACTCATCATATAGTGAACGGAGAGGGAAACAATATTTATTAGTGTTATTTCTGGCGAGAGTCATTATTATTACTATAATAACTTTTTTTCAGAAACGTCAATATAGAATATTCAATAGATAAATGTGTATATTGAAGCCATTATTGAAAATAGTAAATGAAATCACTGGAGAATAACGAGTATGTGTGGTTTCACGTATACTGCCTAAAAGTTTACATAAATAATCAATAGTTTATGTTTCATACATGAGAAACATTACTATATATTTTTATTAACTTAAGCTAAAACAAATGCTAGTTATAAACACCATAGAATGAATGAGATATGGGGGCTGGAAAAACAGTTATGGGTATTAAATTTTGTCCATATCCCTCCTAAAGCACAACTATATAAATATGATCTATTGAAGAACCATTTTCACCACATTTTCACACAAAATACGCGTTACTGTTAGCTTTCGGACAGTTATACTGGTCTCGATATAGAAAATCTCTCAGTTGAAAGGCAGTGTCTAATGGAACAGTTTCACCATGAACTCTCAAAATCATTCGACGCCATTTCTCTTTCTTTCCTGTTGTTTACATAAAACCTTTCACAAACATTTGGTTTCAAAATTGCTTTCAAGTATTTTTTTCTCCCCACGTTGTTCCTCTAATGGTGCATATTTTTTAATGTGACTTGCTATTTTTATACAGAATTCTGCACAATATTTTTGTAATTACTGAAATATTCTAGACTTGATAACACAAGATATATATATATATATATATATATATATATATATATATATATATATATATATATATATATATATATATATATATATATATATATATATATATATATATATATATATATATATATATATATATATATATATATATATATATATATATATATATATATATATATATATATATATATGTAGGTTGAAAATATTCTTCAGATTCACGAGGTTAGGAAAATGATGATGACGGTGATGAGGAAGGTTAAAGTTGGAATGATTATCTGGCTTTCGAGAGGATATTAGAAAAAAGATCAACGATAACATGGAGTGATTCCTGATCAGGAATCGAACGCCAACCAGCAATAATCAAGAGCCCCGCTGTTCAGGCGAGTCCAAATGGATCAGATAACTAACTTACTTCTCCGAAACTTCATATCTTAAAAAAAAATCTAATTTGCCTTCTTCGCGAGTCCCTCTTTCACAGCTGGAAAAAAACAATTACGAGGAACGCTATTTATTGTACGAGTTCTCCCGACCTTATATGCTGTGTCAGGGATTATTAGACGTCTTCTGTGTATTTGGTGTGTGCTGCATATTGAAGTTCATCCCCATAACTATTAGGTTACAGTCGTCTCTACAGCACTATGTCGGTCGTCATATCCACAGCCAATATGTTGCGGCTCATATCTTTAGCTACTATGTGGTCGTTTATTCACCCGAACATTATATTCCAGTTTTAAAATATCTGCTCAGGAAGATGCAAGGTTGATGCAAATCAAAGGTAGTCACAGACATTGTAGGGTGGGGCTGTAGAAGTAGGATATCATACAAGTAGATGTTCCACAGACGAGGTCACGTCACACTTCCCTGATGTAAGTAGGTTAGATTAGCATTTTAAAAGCACTACAATCCCCTGTGGCTGATTGTTTAATAAATCACTGAACTATATGCTTACCAGACCTCTAACCCTGTCCCATGGAGGACAGAAGAAAGTGTATATATTCTGGTTAGTTTTGCAAATGTATGACCACGTCTAAGGTAAAATATATATATATATATATATATATATATATATATATATATATATATATATATATATATATATATATATATATATATATATATATATATATATAAAATACGCTGGGAGTACACTTGCCTGTGCCCTGGTGTGCCCACAGGGGGACCAATAATTGGCATTCGTCTGGTAGATTCGGTAAACTAAATCCTTTTCCTATAACTAATAAAAAAATAGTCACAGAATAAGTAGACAAACTATGATTTAGGAGGCAGACGAATTTCTATCATTCTTTACCAACATTTATCTTCCAATGATATGGAACCACATAAGACCTTCCCTTGCTAATGAAAGTTTAAGAAAGACACACTAATGTTATCATCACTTAATTTCTCAGTCTCGGCTAATTTAAGTTTACACCAAAATCATCCGCGATTAATATAATCTCACGAGTCAAATTTAAGTTCACGTTTTTGCCCACCACCACTAATTCAACTTCGTAACTTAAGGGAGAAATGGAAAAGTTGTGAGAAGGAGAGATAATTATTGAAGAATAAGGAAAAGAATGAACAGAGGGAGGAAATTAGATGCGACTCAGCAAGGAGGGCCAATCACCGAAGGTTATTAACGATGTGAGGGGGAAGTCGTTAAGCCTCAGCAGTTACGAGGGAGTAACGATACTGAGGGAGGGGGGGAGATGAGAGAATCTCAGCAAGGGAAGATGAGAGATATTCCGAGAGAAGGAAGACGAGAGAAAATATTAAGCGACGGGATATAAGAAATTCTGAGCAAAGAGAGTTGGGAGATGCTAAGTATATGGAGATAAGAAATGCTGAATGAAGGATGATCAGATATATTAACCGATGGGAAATATGAGATACCGAACGATGGAGAGATGAGAGACGTTGTACGAGCGAAGATGGGAGGAGATGCCGAGCAAAGGAGAGATATCAAAGTCACCATAACCCCCACTGTTCTACCTAAAGCCTGCAGACCCTTAAACCCTAAAGTCCTTAATGATCTTAAAGCCTACTAAGCACACGTCTATCAAACTTCCACAGGTGAATCGGAGGTCCATAGGTCTACTAGAAGCCCCCACGCCAACCAAAAGCCCAAAGATCTGCTAGTAGAACCCAGGTCAACCAACCAGCTTCCGGTAAACAAAAGTCTGCCTGAAGTATACTGCCCTATCAGAAATATATTGTTCTACTAGCAGCATACTTCCAACAGCACAGAGACCAACCAATCCGCACTAAATGTAGCCATCAGTCTCCAGAAAGCCTGTCAGTCTTACCAGCTAAGTTTTAGACCTAGCTTAGCTAACTCTCAGAGGTTAAAGATACGTTTCGTGCGTATTTAAAATAATGTCGAAATTTTAGAATATACTGTGTAAAAAGAGAAGAATGCAAGCAGATTGAGTGAAAAAGTATATATACCCAAAAGTGACACATACACTCACCTATAAGGTCCCACTCGCCGTTGGTGATATATCCACTCAGGTCACCGCCTTCATCATTATTCATCTGGAGATCAATCTGCAAAGGAGAATAATGCCAGTGAAAGTAACAGTCGTGCAAAGGCACTAAATTATCGTTTCCAGTTAATATTGAGACCCCACAAGCCTCTTCTTCGAGGCTTGGGGGGTCCCTACAAACAACCAGAGGTGATAGTCCTAATACATGTAATATATGTTATGTGTTGATAGAAAATGAAAATAATGTTAGAAGTGTTTACAAATGAAACTGACTGCTCTTGGGTCTCTGGTTTGCTATGTAAACGTCTAACCCATCTCCTTCAGGACCTTGAGAGAACTGGTACCGAGAAGTCAAGCGTCTCGTAGCCAATTGAAAGAAACTTGAAATAATGTACTGCGGCATTTTACTTACTGCGTTTTCTAGCTCGCCCTGAAAGTGGCGTCCCATCCACCTTCAGATACTCTCTAGTGTAGATAAGTCTTAGTTAATGAAGATCCACATGTGGAGCTCCAGACATTTTATTTATTATCTCTACAATATTGTAGGGAATGATAGTGTCCAGAATTCAGAAAGTATTCAGAAGTGTTCACATCTGGACACTTCTGAATACTTTCTTGTATGAATACTATCTGTAATATCCTGTTGACATCCTCACATTTTAAATTGACATTTACAGTCAGCCATCTTTTATCCTCAAATTCATCACCAGTTCCTTATATGACGTTGTTCTCGTAATCTATCTGTGAACCAACAATTTGTGTTTAGTTGTTTTAACTGCAATGGCAGACTGCTCTCCGATTTACTCCTGAATGGCTACAGATTCCGCTCTCTATTTTGTATTTAGTAGTTTGGCCATTCCCTAATGCTTAATAGCTTTGCAGGCGATGAGTCACAATAACGTGGCTGAAGACAATCGACTTGAGAATGGTCCAGGACGGACCGAAACGTCGTCGTCTCTTCAATTTTTAGTGTGTGGTTTGGTCAACTTAATAGCTTTGAATCTTTATATCGTTGGTAAAACAATGGGGGGGGGGGAGGATGTTTTATGCTCTCCAATGAGCTTCTTTTAAATGATGAGAAACTTCTAGCCTTTTTTTTTACAGCTTTTCATGTTGAAGAAGTTCTTAAATTGTATTTATATATACTTTCTCAAAACACAGCATCCTAATTTCCTCAAGATGCTGACACATGAATGAGTGTTTTCTCAATAGTGATGAAAAGTAATTCCGGGGTGTTAGATAGTCAAAATGTGGATAAGTGCCGAAGATTGATAGGGTTCTTTGGTCTCGGATCTCTGTGTCTCTTCTCTCTCTCTTCTAATGTCTCATTATCTCATTGTTTCTCGTTTGTGGCATGGCTTGGCTGACTGTCAAGCTGTCGACCTTCTCTTCCTTTAATGTTCTAAATTCTATGTATTCTTTGGCTTATATGAATATCAATCTTATATTATTGTTTTTAATCTTACACCCGTCTTACCATATCGTCTAATAAATTTTATATTAAAAAAATCGTCTTTGTAAGTTTGACTATGTTCAGGTGTTTTTATGTCTCAAAATTTTGAAGATTTTGGATTTTTCTATCCTACATTTCATTTTTGCTCTCTTATTATCTATCTGCTTTCTCTCTTTTTAAGATAAGAATATGGTTCATAAGGTCTGTCAAATGACGTAACTGATGAAACTGCAAGCAAGAGCCGTTGTCCTGCCTCAGCTCAGTAGGAACCCTACTCCTAAAGACCCATATTTCTCTCTTTATCTCTTTCTCTCTCTCTCTCTCTCTCTCTCTCTCTCTCTCTCTCTCTCTCTCTCTCTCTCTCTCTCTCTCTCTCTCTCTCTCTCTCTCTCTCTCTCTCTCTCTCTCTCTCTCTCTCTCTCTTCTCTCTCTCTCTCTCTCTACTGAGACTGTATCTTTCACTCCACTGCTACTCTGCTACCAAAAGCGAAGGGAAAGACGGGTCTTGTAAGCAAACTTTTAATCAAGTGTTCTTCTCCTTCATCACGGCCGCCTTACCCCCAAGACTCTCCGGGGCGCTAAACATTTTTCTTCCCCTTTATCGCGTCTTAATCTGCGAGAGTGGTCATGGGAACTGCTAACACGTGCTCAGGTTTTATACTTTATGTTACCAAATTATTCACCGCAGACAAGATTATGATCTTCTATTTTAAGCAATATTTCGTGTTTCCCAATTCCTGATTTAGATACTGTTTCCCTCGGTGGCTGAATCGTAGTTTTGTGTTCTTTATTTAATTAATAACTGAAAACGTGTAGACACTAAAAGACGAAGAATATCCAATGAAATTTGTACGCTGAAAGTCCTTAAAAATTAAATCGGTAGATACTGTTGAAACGCTTATGATTTTTCTGATATTACCTCAAATTAGATTTATATAAGATATAATATTATTTACGCATAATTGATTCACGTGTTTAGGGGGATTATTCTTTCATCAAGGGAAATTATTTTTAATTAACCTACTAGAATTCAATGACAAGATATCAACGACCACGCATTAGAGAAAAATATAGTTGGACGATATCTTCAGGGTGCTGCCAGAAAAGCCTTCGCCACTCTTCTACACCAGAACATCTTACACAAACTGGGAAACCAAATGGAATAACCAACAAAGTGCAGGACTGGGAGAAAAAATACTTATCATCTAGCAGGACGCAAAAAAACATGAGTATAAATTGGACAGAAGTAACAGGCTGTTTACTCATGGCTCTGTATTAGGACCCACACTGCTGCTGGTTCATGTCGTTGACATAAATGGAAAAGCGCTATCGTCAGCACTTGATTCTATCTATCGTGCTATCGTCGTCAGCACAACAATGTTTGACGATGATGCCAAACAGATGAGGCGAATTAAAACAGAGGAGGATTTCAGAATAGTCCAGTTGACCTGAAATACCATAGATAAATAGTTTGAGAAACGGCTTCTCGCAATTTATCCAACTAAAAGAAAGGCGATTTCCTTGTATGCGATTTAGAACAGGCGTTAGATGACTTCAACGGTAGTTCAAGATGATGGGAGGGCAAGTGTGTAAAATGTTTTTCATACATCAACAGTGGGTTTCGTAGCAGGATTATCGAGTATTTGGCTAAATGTTAATGGGGTCAGGATACAACTCATAACTGATTACCTTCGAGTTGTATTTCTGTAAATGATTCACCAACATACTGCATATACAAATAATAGTCAAACAAAAACAAAAAACCTAACCTGTCCTAGGGCAAACTATACACAATATTATAATATATTCATTAATTTTCATATGTTGATCAGTTCCGATTTTGGTTGCACAATAAGGTCAATTGGCTAATGTGTATTCAGAAATATCCATAACCTTTACGAGCCTGAAATTGGGCTGCGAGTTGTGTGTAGTCTTATATTTGTATAAATACGTCTGGTGACTGACTTTACAAACATTTAGTAAATGTTTATGAGGACGAGCTGATGTAGTGTTTATGAGGACAGGCTGATGTAGTGTTTACGATAAAGGCTGAAAATTGAATGAAAGATAACAACAATACGAACTATCAACAACTTGGATGGAATAGTAAATAATTTGTACATTACTGCAATCGTGTACCCGCGGCCCTTTGCTTTGAAGACAACGAGCTTGATCAACCTAATGTGATCGAGTTATGTTCTGTCCTTGGAAACGTGTTTGGAAGGAGTTTGGTGCGTAAGTATGCAAGGAAGGGCTCCGAGGACGCTGGATGAATGATGGTCAGATGATTGGCTGCAAGCGGCATGAATCAGCCAATAAAAAGATGACCCGAGGTCACGTGATGAACTAGAGGGACGTGCGTCACATCCAATTAGTTAGGAGGACATCAGTGTTGCTTAAGCGGTCTTACGGGAAGGTCGCGTCATGGTCAGCTCCAGGAATTTAGTAGAATTTTGATTGCACGCTACGTCAAGTTGCAACGAACCGTCGACGATGACAGATATACGCTAAGACTGACCTATTACATCTACTTGGAAAAGATTTTCGTCTAGTTCTTCAAAGTTGCTGTGCAACCCATTAAACCGATGACAGTCGGGAGACTGCCAAAAATAAGCTGGAAAAGAGAGCAGTGTGTGTGGTAGCTGTCCTGGCCTACAAGAGTCGACAGAGCTTGAGGTAACGATGCAGTTCAAGGACAATCCTGCTGCTTGACTTCGTGACCAGTGCAAGTGTTACACCAGGAAGTGTAGAGCGTGTGTGATCATCTACGACTTTGTAGTGTAGTGCAGTGTAGCAGTGACATTAAAGGCATAAAGAGAATCGCTGGAAGTGACGCCGAAAGCGCGCTTCTGGAGTCGCGAAACAGGACGTCAGGTGTGTGTGTGTGTGCGCAGGTGTGGAGGTCACATCATCTGCACACCTGTTGACGCAGACGACGACAAGCGGGAAGCTGGTCATATAAGTCAGGTAAATCACGAAGCCCCTCTATTCCTCCCCCACCATTGAATTAGGTCGTCGTAAGGGACTTATTACGATGTTCCTTTATTATTATAAATATTGATGTAATTACTGTGAATGACTATTTTGTATGTATTTTCCAGTGTATGACGATTGATGTTGATGCTGTGAAGTGAATAATATTTTAGGTGGCATTAAGCTTAATAGCAGAAGTCTATTCACAGTTGACCGAGAACATCACTACAATATTGTTGGCTAAAGACATCGTTACTAGCTTGAGATGTTGGCATCTAAAGTAACGATTAAGTTAATTTCCTAGTAAAAAATACTCGTATGAATACTAGAAGTTGGTGAGGCTCTAAGACGAGGCTGAGAATTGAAGTAAGATCCTTTGTGATCCAGTTTTCAAGCTGCCGAGCTGAAGGTGCTTATATTTTTACCTGTAAGGTGCTAATTCTCTCATTATATAAATTGTCATTCACACTTCCGTGAAAATAACCATTTCATTCACCTGGGCTCTGGGAGACTCGAACCGTGACCCCCACGTGTGTGAGGCCAAAGCTCTCGTTATATGTACTCTTTTAAAGGCTCTTTGTTTCTGTTCTTCACAATCGTTCTAATGACTTACTGATTCACTCCAGCTGAATATA